ACATCTGTGTAGATGTTCATCTACAATGAGAATCAGCTGTGGCTGGGTCTTTGTGTTTGATGGAAAGCCTCCTGGAGAAAAGAAGGCTGTTGTAAGACACAAACCTGCATGTATAGTTTTTGACTTAACATGATACTAAACATTTCCTGGCATGTTTAAGAACACTTTAGGTCAGAGAGACTAGTCTACAGTAAATATTTTCAACGTGTAGGTAAATTTGATCACTGCCAAATAACTTCTTCACATCCTGCAAAACGCTATTCGGATCAGCAGTTTGGACACTAGTGGACGTCATAAATGCTGATACTGGTAAATCGCTAAATACCAGTCCAGCCAAGCTCAAACAGATACATCTGTCAGGTTCCATTTCCTATACTGTGACTGGACAAGGTGAATGCCAATATTTTCAAATCTCTTACAAAGCTGATAATGTTTTATTAGCTTTACTGGAGCTGCAGCAATAAAAAGGAAATAGTAGAAAAACGTATTTTCCAGCAGCAGTTTAAATAATTGAAGAAGAGCACCTTTCATGCACAAACAGGGACAGGGCCTCGTGTGGATTATAATGTTTATGAAGCAGCTCGTAAAACCACTTTAACAACTTTTATACTGTTGCAACCTCCATAAAAAACATCTAAAAGCACAATAAAATATATATATATGCATATACTATTCCACACTCACATTAGCAGTTACAGTATTTGGCTCATAGGAAGCTATAATGATCCATAATGGGAAGCTATCCATCTGTATTCTTCAGCTGTTTTCTCATATTCACAGCCCTGTTGCCTCCAGTGGGATTGCAACGAACACGAAGCAGCATCTCCCAGCTGGTCCCTCTTTCATCATAGGTTGCTGAATCACCCACATCCACTGTAACAAATGTCCTATTACTTGAGTTAAGAATGGTTTTTCAATTTAATCGGTGTCGCTTTTCTTCACATTTTCCAAAGCTGTTAAGGGGGCCGGGTTGGAGTTTTTGCCGTGCTAATTCGAGCACCTGGGCCTTATGTTTGACATCCCTGCACTAGACACTATATTGTGCATCTGAATTGTGTTTTCACCATTGTCTGCATGGGCAGGTTTTGATAAAGTTACAAATGTTTATGAAAGAAAAAAATGTCCCAAACAATGGGATAGAAATTATTTTGTGAAGATGCAATCTACTCATTAACACATACAAAGGTGATCCAGGGTAATTCCAAGGGGACACATGGGCGTGCCCCACGTCATCTTCAACAACAAACACACACAAAATGCTTTTATTTTGGAAAGGAAAATTATTGAACTTCTTTTTTCTTTAATAAAATAAAAATGGTTAATGATCATGAAGGGCATCTTGGGCTTCCCTAACAAATCCTGATCAATTATCAGGAGGTCACACTTCAAACTCAACTTAGCTGCTCCTAACCCAAAGCCCCCACATTAACTATGATTCTAAGAAAACAAAAGAGAGAAAAAGAGAGTCAAAATCACGGTATAAGAAAAAAAAAGCAGCTCTTTGCTGCGGGAGAAAAAGCTGTGAAAACAGCAAAGCACATCCTGAACGATTATCATTGGATTAACAGGATTTGATCTGATGCTTTGGCATAGATCTGATCTTCACATGGTCGGATCAACTGCAAGAAATTGCTGTGAACTGGAAAACATCAAAATAACAAATTCCAAATCACTGCGATAAGAAAATCTTTGATATATGAAAACCGATGTTGCAGCTCTGAAATATGGCCAAACTGGTGGCAAGTGGCATCTTGGCAGCTGCACGCTTGACTTTTCTCAGTTCATGGGCAGTTATTTGCGCCTTGGTTTTTCCACACGCTTCTTGCGACCCTGTTGACTATTTTGAATGAAACGCTTGATTGTTCGATGATCACGCTTCAGAAGCTTTGCAATTTTGAGACTCCTACCCTATCCTGTACTTGGCTACATTAAGTTCTGTTAAGATTGCGAATCCAAGAAGGCAGGGCACTTTCCTAACACCGTGTACCAAGCACAAACCTCCTGCACAACAAAAACACATTTGTTCTGTCTCAGGTTTGCTCATGTTGGATGTTCAAGTGACCATATCAAGTGTTCCCAGCGTATTTCATTGCTTTAGTTGAGAGTTCTTTAGCTTGGAAAAAACTTCATGATTCAAAGTAGCAACAACCTTTTTAAGCTGCAGAATAATTAACTGAACCAAGTATGTAATTTTATCAAAAATAATGTTTTCATTCATAAATAACAGCCAAGGAATGGTCACTAACTAAATTTAGTTTTAGCTGTTGCAAGTGCTAAGTCCTATGCACAGCTCACATGCTATCTTACTGGATGTTTTAGGGTACAGAGTTCATACAGGACACATCCCAGAGACCAGATATCCCTGCAGGAAGGAAACACACACACACACACACACACACGGACCAAGGTTAGAAGGAAAGATTTCAAAAGCAATCGGACATCATCTTAACCACATCAACTTTCTAGTGAGACACAGACTTTATTACAAACCACTCTCACCTCAGTGTTATCTTGCACCCTGCTGTTATGTGCTGGATTGTCTCTGGGGCATCTTTACACAGCCTGCACCTGGGGTCTTGCCTGGTGTGATAGACCCCAGCCTCTATGGATCTTGTACTCAGAGCTTGTTCTTGTGCTGCCATGATTAGTGCCTCTGTGCTGTCTTTCAGTCCAGCTTTGTCCAGCCCTTCTGCAGACACATGCAAGATATGAAAGGTATGTAGGTCAGTAGTTAAGGCATCTAAGTAGTGCCCCCAAACAAGCAGGGAGTAATGTAATGTAAAGCAGAGATACAGACATCAGCAGACAGTGTATGTGTGTATACTACTCATCCAAATATAACAAAGCAATTAGGATGTATAGAGAAGTAATGTAAATATAAGTCAAAGCCTAGAAGATAAACAAGATACAGTCAGCAGAACATGTAGTGTGTATTGATGATGTGTGTGTTGTGAGTGTTGTGAGGTAAGTGTTGATGTAGTGTATTGTGTGGCTTATGTGTATAGAGTGTGTTAGTGTGTGTTAGTGGTGGTGTGTGGTGGTATAGTGGTGGAACGATGTGAGCGGTAGTAGCTTCGCCCTGACTATTACTTGTTTGTGGGCTATGTTATGTAATAATATGTATGTATGTATATACTCTGTATGTATGTTATAATGTTAATATATGTATACTAGTGTGATATATGTGTATATATGATATATGTATATGTGTATATATATATATAATGTGTATATAATGTGTATATATATATGTGTATATGTGTATATGTATATGTGTATGTGTATATATATATGTATATGTATGTGTGTATATATATATATGTATATATATATATAGTGTGTATTGTATATGTGTATATATATACAGTACATGGACGTATAATATCAATTTAAACAATATAGATAAATAAATAGAGCAGTTCGTCAGAACTAGATCAGCTGTACCTCTTCAGTCCTTTTCTAATTTTACTGATTGAAATAATTTTTTTTACATTATTAACATACAACATGCTGAGTGATGCCCATAGAGGCACTCATACTTGCTGATGGTCAGTTAATCAGTTAATAAGAGGATAGAAAAGCAGCATCTGGTTACTTTTTACCCTTTTAATTCTCGTGAGAGCAAAAGGGTGCATTCATTTTTTCATGCACTGCTCTTGCAGATCATTTTTTATTATGTATTGATACATAAAACATTAGAACCGACAGATGGTGTATCTCCTTTCCACCACTGACCGCACATCTGTATACAGCTATGATCGATAGTCATCTCCATGCACAGAATGTCAAAGCTTTCTTGAACAGATGTGCAAGCCGGCAGAGCTAATGCTTTACACAGAAAGTAGTAACACATAGCCTGTTACATATTCTGCGTGACATGAAAAAGGAAAGCAGAGAAGAGGCAGTTCATCAGGTCATTGTTCAGCGTGCCCCCACTCCCCTCCCCGCCTGGCCTTCATTGGCTGTTCTTTGCTGATTCATCCAAAGCTGTAGATCTGATGAGTGTGGGCCATTTCTGGGTCAGTGAGCACCATGTTGCACTGAATAGGAAACAGAGAGGGGAGGCCGGAGCTTTCAGACCCTCACACACACACATTACATTGTCAGCCCTTCATTCAAGTACTGAGACATGCTGTACACCCTGACAAAGCTGCAGGAGCACAGAGCACTGTAAATGTAAGTACTGTGCAACATTTACCTTTTTTGATCATAAACTGTGCATTAGTGAGCTGCATCCTCACAGTGCTGTTACAGTGGGAAGGCTGAATTAGGAGGCAGAAATGTGCTGATGAAATGTGATGCTGACCTTGTTGTCAGGTTGTTTCACAGTTGAAGGTTTGGTCACACGCAGTCTATTTGTCAGTTAAACACGACCTCCCCAGTTGTGTAACACAGTGGCCCGCTATCCTAGTCACTCTTTAAATATATTTTTGTAATATTGCGATATCTTCGGTGTAAAGTAAGCAACGTCTTTTTGAGGTGGAATAATATTTAGCACATCGTGCTTGAATGACTGTATTTTTCTCCATAACTATCAAAAACTCTGAACATAAACATTCTGATGGTGCAGTCATGGTCGAGGTGGCAAACAGAATTCATATTAGTGACAAATGAATTACCTTCTGCTACCACTGGACTTTTTCCAGCAATTGTTTCAGAAGATAAGCTGCTCCTGGCAGATTCTGATGCAGCAGCTACTGAATTGAGTTGATTTAGATGGGCCAGAAAAGAATCTTACTTTGAAAATATTCATTTATATGCATTTAAATACTGGTAACTTACCTCTCAAGTGAACTGTATACCTGTGTTTGCTTTTCTTTAGTGTTTTTGTCCTTTATAGGCTTCAACCATATCTTTGTTTATCGTCCTGTCCATTTGTTGTTGAGCACCTTCAGACAGAGCTACTGGAAACTGCATGCCTGCTTGTCCAGTAAAGCTGCTTCTAACTCTCCATTTCAGACGATTTGGCGGTGCATGAAAATATTCACACAGCAGAAAGAATGAGGTCGCCATATTTTCCAGCCAGATCTGTGCTTTTCCACAAGGAGCCGAACGGAGTGACGTACAGAGTCCCAGCTCTGCTCTACCTGCCCCGCTCCAGATCCTTTCTGGCTTTCTGTGAGGAGAGGCTCAGCCCGTCCGACTCTCAGGCTCACCTGCTGGTCGTGAGGAAAGGCACTTTCTACAGGAGCTATGTGGAAGTCAGTGATATTCAATGCTCACTGGCTCAGGGCTGTACAATTAAAACTTGTGCACATATAAATACTGGAGCTTAAGTACATTTTTACAATCAGAAGTTTGATAACAAGTACTTCTTCTAAAATCTATAGCCTGACATAGGCAGAAAAGTAAACAAATGTAGGAAGAAAAGGTCAATATTTTAACAGGTTATAATAAGAAAAATAGTGACTTTACAAAGTAACAGTGAGTTGGGAAAATTTTGATAGTCTTGTTTTAGATTCAACGAGCTAAATCAGACTGTAAAGCAAGTTTTATGGCACCTATAATGATTTAATATCATTCAGTGCAAATATAAGTGGTACAATAAAAAATAAAATATACTGAAGATTTTATTCAAGTATTTTAACCAAGTGTGGCTGATAAAGTACAAAAATAAAAAACAATAACAGACTTTAAATGTAATTTTCAGATTCTATAATCCTCTAAATATGAAGTTTGTAAAAAAAAAAATTAATAATTAAAATCTTTTTTTTAACTCTTGTTTTGTAATTTGACTGAACAGGCATTTTAAGTAAAATCAAACAGACGTGAGAAGCATCATTTCTTGTGTCTCCTGTGATTCTTCTCAATCGTCATTTGTCTGCAGTGGGAGGACATCCGTGTTCTGGGCACTGCTTTCCTGCCAGGCCACCGATCCATGAACCCGTGCCCGGTCTACGATGAGTTCACGGGCACTCTCTTTCTGTTCTTCATCGCTGTTCTGGGTCACACCTCAGAGTCCTACCAGCTGGTGACAGGGAAGAACGTGACCAGACTGTGCTACGTCTCCAGCACTGATGATGGCGACACCTGGAGTCCCGTCACCGACCTCACCAAGAAGGTCATAGGAGACACTATTAAAGGTGAGGCTCATTCGAAAAAGCATTGTGCTATTATTTATCTCCAGTTAAATTGGAAACAGCCTCTTTGTCTTCAACAAAAAGATCTAAGTAAGAGTCACAAGATGACAAAATCCACAGTCCCAATTCTGCTTCCTTCCTGGCAGAATGGGCCACCTTCGCTCTCGGCCCGGGCCACGGCATCCAGCTGAAGTCAGGCCGTTTGCTCATTCCTGCCTACGCCTACCACATCGAGTGCAAAGAGTGCTTCGGCCACCTCTGCCAGACCACTCCCCACTCATTCTGCTTTCACAGTGACACCCACGGGAGAACCTGGCGCTTTGGAGAGGCGGTCCCAGGACCAGAGACCGTGGAGTGTCAGATGGTGTCTGTGGACGAAGAGGATGGGACTAACGTGTTATACTGTAATGCTCGAAGCCCTCTCGGGTACAGAGTGCAGGCCCTCAGTCTGGATGATGGAGCCGTGTTTCAGGAGGGGCAGCTGGTGCAGCGGTTGGTGGAGCCTCAAAATGGTTGTCATGGGAGTATTATTGGATTTCCTGCCCCGTTAAATCTGTGTCAGAGTCTTAACAACGATTTACAGCGACCTGTACGGCTCTCCAGACACTGGACATCCTGCACCACAGAGTCCAGTCTCTCCAAGTCGAGTACCAGCTCTGTAGCCTTTTCAGTGTCAGCAAACAGCTCCAGCACCACCAGCTCCATCCCACCTCCTCATGAAGCCCCTCCGGATTTCCTGACTCCTACGTGGGTAGTATATTCCCACCCAACATGGACGACTGCACGCAAAAACCTGGGCTTGTTCCTCAGCCTTTTCCCCCGTGATCCAGACAGCTGGCGTGGCCCCTGGGTGATCTATGATGGGCCGAGCGCATACTCTGACCTGGCCTACCTGGAGCTGTCACCCTCACCTGGAGCCCCACCTGCTGTGGCCTTCGCCTGCCTGTTTGAGTGTGGTACCAAAACAGCTTACGACGAAATCTGCTTCAGCATCTTCACCCTCTACGAGCTCATCGATAATCTGCCCCGGGACGTCTGGCTGGAAACAAACAACGAAGGACACAGAAAACGGCAGGGGAGGAGCTCTAGACATGATGCTCAAAGTGCAGAAGTTTCCCAACAGGTGACTCCTGTGAAGAAGAGGAGGAAGAAGAGCAAGCTGGCTGAGATGTGCTCTGTGTCTTAATGTAGATTTTAAACTTGTGATACAAGTCGTCCATTAACTGGTTCCTATATTATGCTTCACTTATTTGGACCTGTGCAGACTGAAATGTTCTCAGATTTCATAAAATTCAGATTTTGACACAAATATAGAGCTAACACTTCACTGAAGCACCTCAGGTCTGCAAAAGGAAGATAAAACTCTAAAGACATCGCTCAGTTTTCCCCATCCCTCCACCACTGTGGTCACAGCTGGCAAGAGGTTTCTGGGTTTTGTCCCAACGTGGTGCTTTATGTGCATTATGATCAAACATCTCCATCTGTACAAAGCACATTGTTCTTGTTCTTATTCAGATGCAGCTTTGCAAACCTAAGCTGTGCTGCCTTCTTTTTAGAAGCAAGAGACTTCTGGAAACCCTTCCAACCAAGCTGTATTGTACTTGTTCAGTCTTTTTCTAATTATGCTATTATGAACTTTAACATACCAACTGAGGCCTGTTGAGTCTGAGCAGTAGCTCAGTGTCTCAGGTCATAACTGTCACTTGGATAAAAAGTAAACATTCAAGTTCACAGAGGAAAAGAATTCAGGACTGAGCTGAAGTGTTGGACAGACACTGAGAAGGTGGAGCACTCGCTGAGCTTCTGTCCACCATATTTTCCATCACATCGTGCACACAAGTGACAAAATAGATTTTTCTGATGTGTCACGTTTTAATTTGAAGGCGTGCAATAAAAATCTTTCACTTCCTAAAGTATTGTGTTGTTTTTGTTGCAATCTTCCCAGAACCAGACATTTTCCTTTGCTGTCCGGTGGAAGTGGGTTGTTTGTTTTTCCAGTCAATGGAAAATTAATATGCAACCATTATCGTTCATTTGCCGTCAGTAAACTGAATATTTAAGAATGGCAGCTGTTGAAAAGCAGTATTTAATTTTCCATTTCATTGACTAATCCGTGAACAAACACAATGAGTCAAATGGGAGCCAGAGCTTTTAGATAGCAAACCCAGGAGCTAGAACATGCTATCAGGGTTGTTCCTGTGAATTAGTGTCAGATTATTCTTTGCAACAGTCCATTTTGTCCCACAGGTCTGTGTCCAATCTGTTCTTTTTCCTCTCCCAGTCAGTTAACGGGATAAAAGTCGACAGAAACAATCTTGCAATGACGTCTGTGGGGACGTCCCAAATGTGTTTCCTGAACTATGGCTTTCAAGGTCAACAAAAGCATTTGTTTTATTAAAAAAAATTATTGTTCACAAAATGTGAAATGCAGACCACCTAGTTTTAGACATTTTTTCAGTTTTTCCTTTGGCAAGCTGATATTGGGCAGAAACATGTTTAATCTGGCAAAGTAAAAGTCTTCCTCCCCCAAATTTAAGTGACAAACAGCAGCCCAGCGCCAAGCTTTCTGATTAATCACACCTGCAGCTTGAGAGCACAGTAGATAAAGTGGAGCAGTTTGTTTGGATACAGATTGCTGCGGGAAGACAGCAGGATCTGGACAGTCTCTTCTCTCTGCTTCCTCCTCCTCTTTACATAACTCCACTCTCACAGGACAGTCATTTCCCCGCCTGCGCTCTTCCACTGAAGTCGTTACTGTTTTCTCCCAGCGTCCGTTTAAAATAATGAGGCTCGTCGTCGTCCTGGCTGTGTTAATGGGAGTAAGTGGGATTCCCGACGTGACAATCAGCCCTCCGACTGCCTCAGCGGACACGTCAGCTCATCCCAACAGCATACCTGAGACGGCGGATGAATCTGAGCAGGTGAGGAACAACCCGGTGGACGACTGTTGTGCTGTGGTTTGTGTTGCTTAGTAGCTGGATTTGAAGGGAGGGATGAAATGTTTCCAAGATGTTATTGTGCAATGACTGACACACACTCATGCAAGTACACTTGAAGGTAATACGTCTTTGTTGCAATCATTATAACATAAAGACCTTTCTGTACATAGTACAAAAGCCATTATAAGCTCAAGTCAAAACTCTGAGCTTAAACGCTGCCTGCAGACTTAACTGTTGCTAAAATGCAGGTAATAAATAGTCTTTCCACGTGAGGCAGACATTAGGAGGGGGGGGGGGATTAAACAACTAAAGGAAAGTAAAATCTTGTTTTTGTGTAGAGCCGTGGTTGAAGATGAGGAGAAAATGATGAGTTCAGCTCTTCCACTTGTTCTTCTTCGCTGGCAGCTGTCCTGTAGCCTCCAAGTATTTGTGGATGAGTTCTTCTTGTGTGGCGGGCAGGCAGGGCTGATATCTGCTGTACTCCATGGTGTACTCTCCTTTCCCCTGAATAAACAATGACACAACATGTTAGCAATTCAGCTGTCTTCTTCTACAAACCATGTCTGATTTCAAGAATTTCCTCTATTTTTGTCCGTGCACATCTCCAATCCATCTAATCTTTCTCGCTAAAAATTCTTTGAACCATATCTAGTTGCCAAAATCCAGGACCTGATCAACACACTTGACGCACTCATCCAAGAAGCCTCCAGTTTTTACTGTGAACTCCAGCTGTAGGCTATCAAAGTAGCACAAATGGGCTACATAGCAGGCGGAGGCTTCAGCAGACTGCATACTGTCATACATGCGTGTTCAAGCCTCTGCTTAGAGCACCAGCTCTGATCTGATTGTTCTTGATGGAAATGTGACTGGACAGACGTCCTGAGATGAGCTCCAGTCATTGTTATGGCAGTACCCCCACCCTGCAGCTGGTTCAGCAGAAAGATGTCCCCCACCCCTCCACGCTGCCAGAGTAGTGCAGGCCCTCCTGGATGAGGAGCATATCCAGATGCTTCCTTGACCAGCATTATGTTGTAACAAGTTTCCTGTCGAGGATGACTGGGACATGCAGGATCAGCATGCTTATCAGAGCCAAACGCAACCGCTGCAAATGTCCAAAAATGGAGGGCAGTTCTTTGACAACAGATTGAATACTTATACAGTCTTTGCACAGACGGGTGACCACTTTCACCACATCCACAGGAGGCTTTACCTCATATTAAACACCTACCATATGGTCTATGATATCATTTGAAAAACAAACTTTAATTGAACTCATTCCTCAACATTACCTGACCGTCAGGTTTTGTATGCTTTTGAACTTACCTCAGTACAAGAGCGCAGCTCTGTGGCGTAACCAAACATGTCATTTAGTGGGATCTGTGTTGGAACAAACAGGATGACATTCGAGTTAAAGCAGGACAAGAAAGCGGGTGAAACTGGAGATAAGCACTGTATCGTTTATATTTACTGGACTTACATCAGCATAAAGAGTGAAGTATCCATCACCCCCATCCTGTCCTGTGATGACGCCGTGGCGGCGGTTTACTCCAGCAATGACGGCTCCTTGAAACTCCTGGGGTGCAACGACTTCCACGGACATGATTGGCTCCAGGATCACTGCGTTGGCCTTTTCCATAGCTGTGGAGAAAACGGTGAACCCAGCGGCAACATAAACCAGATAATTTTTCAGCTGAATCAGAAACAAATGGAAAAAAACAAACAGAAGGGCGTCCTCACCTTGTTTTAGAGCGCCCTCTCCTGCGCGGATAAAGGAGATCTCATTGGAGTCGACCATGTGGTGCGCTCCGTCTTCCAGGAGGAATCGGACTCCTGAGATCTTGTGCCCGCTCAGAGGGCCCTTCTCACAGGCGTCCTTGAAGCCCTGCAGCACGATGGAGGAAGGAGGGAGAAAATCGAGACTTTAAATTTGGAATCGCTTCCACTTGTGTTTAAAACTTATTCTGTGAGACCACATGAAAGTGTTTGCATGCCTTTTCAACAGCTGGCACAAACTGCTTTGGGACGTTGGTTCCAACAGTTTGATCTTCAAACTCCAGTTTGGTGTAATGGTCTGACTCGAGAGGCTCGAGGACCCCGATGACTTTACCGTACTGCCCGGAGCCGCCACTCTGCTTCTTATGGGTGAAGTCAAATCTACGAGAGAGTGGGGGGAACACTGGTTAACATAGAGGACACAACAGGAAGTAGATGATCCAAATGTATGCACCAATCAAATCAAAGAACCAACATAACCAAGAATACTCTTAAGAAACTAAAGTAGGTTTAAGTACTGCAATGTACAGTTTTATTTTGGGTTTATAACAAAGTATTTCCATATCCTAGGCTGTTTTAATGAGGAAAGATGAGATGTAACTTTAACTATTCAGTACTTCTGATGATTGATGAAATTGCATTTATAAATATGTCTGTTGGGGATCTTTAATTTACTCCAAATATAAGATTGTACCAATACCAAGTATACTTAAGCTCCAGCTCGATCCACTAAAATGTGAACATTTCCTTCATATTTTAACTGAAGCTGAAACTCTCCATTACTATATAACCAAATTTGACCTACTTTACTAAGTTGCAAACATCTGCAGAGGTCTGTTTGCTGTAAAGCGCTGCTTTTTTTTTTTTTTTTAAGTCAGGAGGAAGTGTTAAAAAGGGCTCTGTCTCTTTAAAAAGGGGCAGTCCTCAGTGAACTCTACTGTCAGAGGAAGTGGGAAGTTATCTTTCCATTTGCGCGAGGAGCAGCTGACTCGGAACACCGACTGTGGGGGGAAAAAAACATTCCAGTTGGCAGAGATTCACTCCCCACTTTAATTCAGTTTGGGACACTTCACAGCTGCGTATCACTTCACCCTGTAAGAAAACACATGGTTTCTTTCCTGTATTGCTCAGTGGCTGTTGTGTGCAAAGCTGTGTTTGTCTACATAGCTGCTCACACCAAAAGATCAAAGTCCTCCAGGAACTGGAAGCCCTGCACAATAACCATCTTCTGTTCTCATTCACTCCTTTTCCCTCTCCCTCCACTTTCCACCCACAGATAAAGGCACGGACAGAGGAGGGAGCCGAGGAGGATGTGATGGCAACTGGCGAGCTGAACCCAAATCACTACCCTGCCAGGAGGGCAGCTCAGGTGGTCCAACACTACCTCAACACCCGGTACGGTTCACCATTCAGGCTGATCGGAGTGCAGACGGTCCACAGTGGGAACGCAGAGGTCAGCTGACCTTCAACACTGAAATATGTGAATATGCCACTGTAAATAAAAAAAACAACAAAAAAAAACAACAACTTGAATTTCCAATTTTTCTTTCAGGATGTGGCAGACTCCGGAAGAAAGTATCAGCTGGAGCTCTCGGTGAATGATATAACCAATGTAGGACTTTCTTTTTTCTCTTTTTCTTTTAACCACAATGTGAGGAAAAAAGACATAATGGTGGAGGAGGGGGGGTGCAGCTGCAGCTTCTTAAGAACCACAAAGAGTAATGATCCACCTCTCAAATAGGGTGGAGGTAATCTGAATAAATGTCTTCACCCACTCCCAAACACAGCGTTATCTGTGTTTGCTGCTGCCTATTGAAAGATCCTACAAATAAATCTTAGGTATGGTAAACAATCTCACAGCGTCTGGCTTAGTGTGAGCAGGTCTGACAAGAATGACTAAACAGCCTATAAAAGGAGGCTTATGTTAGCTTGTATGATGGTGTGGTGCAACCTCGACTCATCTGGGCTACATCCACTCCCATTTCTTGCTCACTAAGAATGCCTTTACTATTCGTTTTTTGCTAACTTTGTTTTGTTTAACTCCTTCAGACTACACAGACTTGCTCTGCAGAGCTTTTCTTTCCAAAAGGAAAAGGGCAACAGCCACCTGAAGTCAAAGCATTGTGTGAGGAGCTAGTTAAAATTGACATTAAAGCTCAAGAAGAGGCTCTATACCAAAAATACAAGACCAACCAAACCCTGATGTCTGCACAGTACTTACCAGGTAAGTCCAATAAAACAGGCTTAACTGTCCAAGCTACTGCAGTTCCACCCAATCAACACTGAAAGTCAGATTTTGCACAACAGTTGCGTTCAGACATTTCAACACTGTCGGTGCTGCGGTGTTCCTCTAAACATTGACAACACAAGTGCTGTCATCATGAACGCAGGACGCTTGAGAGATGAGACGTAACTGAGAACTCTAAACTTCCCTCAGACAGCCACGGTCACATCGAGCCCGACATGAAGCCTTTTTGGCATCTGGGCATTCTGGCCTCCAGCTTCATCATGCTGAATGAATCCACTGAAAACACTCTGTACAACGTGGCTCAGGTGGCCAACATCACTCAGCTGGTAGGTGCTTTACAAAAATTTAAATATGAGCTTATTATAAGAAATTGATCACGCCCCCCCCCCCTTAAGCCCCATGTCTGCACGATTTACTGAATACATACAGATTGTCAATAAAAGTCCTTCATGTGGTAAAACAAGACAGGTTATGTCGGCCATATAAACAAATGTATTAAGCCTTTAAAATTTTTTTATTTTTTTTTTTGTTTCCTACAGACAACTGAGGAGGACCACCTGGAGTTTGACTGTCACACACTGCTGCATGAAATGGTGTCCCAGGTAGACACTTGGCTAAAAAATGTCTTTAAAAAGCCTGAAATGCTAAAATAAGACTTTTTATAATCCTAATAGATTTGGTACTTGTGGTGTGTTGGAGTAAATTAAACATGCACTTTACTGCACTCATGCTAAACTTTGCTATTCAATCTGAGCCACATTTTTGCATCCAGAGATCTCGCTGATCTGACATTTTTCTGTGCCGATACAGGAAATCATTCACTGGAAGATGCTGTTTACCTGGTCTCCTGCAGAGGGGGTTAAAGTGGTGCAGATGAAGCGGCTGCCTCACCGCCATGAAAGGGAAAAATCTCCAAAGACTAACTAATCTGTGGGTGTTCATCACACAGCCAAGACCACTTATTTGTCCTCACATTTTGTGGGGTCAAATATTGGCGCATAAATGGGTTTTTTGTTGTTGTTGTTTTTTCATGATGACGCTACAAGCACTAGGCACAGATCTACTGCTGAAACCTAGAATTTACACTCTTAAATGCTTTAACTCATAAGTATATGATATACTGAAATTGTTTTAAATGTCTGTGTTTGGTCTATTTTAGCTTAAATAAACTGTTTACAATGACAAAGTATTTTGTGCGTGCTTGTATGTGCGTGGGCGTAAGGACAAAGACTATCAGGACGTACGGTACGGGACTGGTGATCGTCTCTCTGAAAGCTACTTTGGGTTTTCCCATCACACAGGGGCAGTTGTATTCCCTCTCCATCCTCTGAGAGAAAAAGAAGAGCAAAAATAAACTTGGATTAGATCATAAAGGTTACTCAGAACAGAGATCTGTTAATTTGCAGAATTAAAGCCTTCATGGAAATACTACTGAAGTACTTTACTCCAAACTCCAAAATTAGCCTGAGATAAAGCAACGCTGGTAAGGCCAAAGACACTCACTAAATTATTTGATTTGCTCACAAAGAAATTAACAGCCTAATTTTTCTAGTAGTTTCTAAAGTAGAGAGACGGAACAAATCTGTTACATAAACATTAGAAATTGATTTGAATGTCCTTGAGCGAAACAAGTATTCGATCCCCTTCATCCAAACTGGGCACACAGATTACAATCAGTCAATCAATTACAGACTCCTGATATCAACTTGTGTGTTTAAAGCACACCTGTCCACACAATCAGTTTCTTTCCAATGCACAACAGGGAGAAGAGTGTGGACCTGCACGAGGCTGGAATGGACTACAAGACCAATCCAAGCCTGTTTGTTTCTTTTTAAGTGAGCAAACTTACAGATTCAGCAGGGAGCTGAAATAATTATCCCCACGTTATATAATGGATTTGATGAGATGTCCCATGAAACGTGCAACCTGTCTAAGTGAGTACCTGTGAGTAGATTTCCAGATGCAGCTCGCCCATGCCTGAGATGATGGTTTCTTTGCTCTCAGTGTCATAATGCACTCTAAACGTCGGGTCTTCTCTGGTGAAACGGTTGATTCCTTTGGAGAATTTATCCAGGTCGTTCTGTTCAGTCGCACAAGAGGAATTAATAATAAGAGGGAGTGACAAAGAGGTGGATTTAAGACTAGAGTTATAATAAAAGGCACGTCTTTCAGGTTAAACGAGTATTTTTACCTTGTTGGCTGGCTTCATCGCCATGGAAATGACAGGTTCAGGGATGTGAATGGACTCCTGTGGGTGTTAAAAATTGACATCAAATGAAGATGCTTCTCATGAGGCACAAAAACACTTTAAAAAGAAGCAGGTTTCTTTGTCTTTCGGGTGTCCTTTGCTTCTTACCATGGACAGGTCAGCAGTTGTCTTGGATGTGAAAGTGTCTCCACTGGCACAGTCGATTCCAAACAGGGCACAGATATCTCCCGCATAAACCTCATCCACATCCTTTCAAAGCAGAGAGAGAGCACGAAAAGCAGGATGATTGTTTTTTAAAATGATGATAGGAATGACTAAAAAACAGTTTCACATCTTGTTTTGATAGAAGATGGGTGCAAACATGTTGTTTTGGTGTCACAGGGGATGTGGTTGATATCTACACACTTGATTAAAGCCAAAAAGAGGAACCCAATCTTTCTGACCAGTCATGCTGCTCTGCTGTTTAATGTGCAAACCACAGATGGAAAACTGTGACCTCTCACAGCCTGCTGACGCAACGCCGGTTTGCTCTTACCTCCATCTGATCAGCATGAAGACGCACGAGCCTCTGAACTCTGACTTTCTTGCTTGTGCGTGTGTTGTAAATATATTCTCCCTTCTTCAGACAGCCTTGATACACTCGTATGTACGTCAGCTGACCAAACCTCCCGGCCTGAAAGACAGGAAATAGCAGAACATGGCAAACTGAAGTATTTCTATTGCACAAATGTGCAGAAATAGAGAGATCACGAGGACATGAGACAGAACAGATGCTCTCTGTCAAACTGAATCACCTCCAGTTTGAAAGCCAGACCAACGTAGGGGTTTGCAGAGTCTCTCGTTGGGTCCATTTGAATCTTTTTGGTTTCAGTGGAATCTCTAACAGAGTGGAAAAACCCGCCAATGTTAGTGGAAAAAAAACAAACAACTTTTAATCTGATTTTGATTTAAATCTACAGTTTCAGGACACTTTGCATGCAAACTGACGTTCCTCTTCATACTCACTCTTCATTGAGGATGGCGTAGTTTTTGACTTCACTGGGGTTGGGCAGGTAATCCAGGACGGCATCCAGTAGAGGCTGGACACCTTTGTTCTTCAGCGCTGTGCCCACCAACACTGGGGTGAAGAGACGCTGCACCGTAGCCCGGCGGATTGCTGCCTGGAAGGCAGTGAGGTGAAAACTGATTGAGACAAATGCCTTTATCTCTTCGCTGATGTGAAATGTTAATCTCAAAATTTGGATGTGAAAATTCTGAATGATTTTCAGGATTTCTATACAAACTTTGGGGTAACTGGTGATGCCAAATTTGGTATTTCCGGACTGATCAAAACTGACTCTCAGATATGTTTGCTTCTTTGGATCGCCACCACTTGTATCAAGTCTGAAATACAATCACCGGTCACTTTATTAGGTACACCTTGACAGTACTGGGTTGGACCTACTTTTTGCCTTAATTCTTTACGACACAGGAAACATTCCTGAGGTATTTTCATCCATGTTGACATGAGAGGATCGCAACGTTGCTGCAGATTTATCAGCTGCACATCCATGATGTGAATTTCATGTTCCACCACATCGCAAAGGTGCTCTACTAGGTTGAGATCCGGCGAACTGTGGTGTTCATTTGAGTACAATGAACTAATTGTCACGTTCAAGAAACCAGTTTGAGATGATTTGAGCTTTGTGACATGATGTGTTATCCTGCTGGACGATTGGTGCACAGTGGTCATAAAGAGAACCTGCACGGTCAGCAACAATACTCAGGTTGGCTGCTGCATTTAATCATTCCTCAGATAGTACTAAGAGGCCAAAGTATCCCCCACACCATTACATCAGCACCAAACTGAACTGCTGATAAGAAGCAGGATGGATCAATACTTTCATGTCGTTTATGTCAAATTCGGACCATCTGAATGTCACAGCAGAAACAGTCCTCAGACCACAGCACCTTTTTTCATGTAAGTTGTACCGTCAGTTGCAGTCTTCTGCTGCTGTAACCCATCTGCTACAAGGTTCAATGTGACGTACATTCATTATCTTCATTTCTTGGTTATAACAAGTGGTTATTTAAGTTATTGTTGCCCTACTGATCTTTTACCTATGGGATCAACAAGGCATTTACACACAGACGATTGCTGTTCACTGGATGTTTTCTCCTTTTCTGACTATTCTCTGTAAACTCTAGAGATGGTTGTGCAGGAAAAACCCAGGAGATCAGCAGCTTCTGAAACCAAGCTGGTATCAACACCCATACCACATCCAGAGTCACTTAAATCACCTTTGGTCCCCAGTCCGATGCTCAGCTTGAACTTCAGCAGGTCATCCTGACCCTGTCTACATGCCTAATGCACTGAGTTGCTGCCATGTGATTGGCTGATTAGATATTCAGATTAACGAACAGTTGAACAGACGTACCTAATGAAATGACCAATAACTAGTGACTATACCTCAGATACCAGCGGGTTTAATTGAGGATTTTTTTTGTTTGTTTGTTTTTGTTGGAGTTTAGTTGACACTGGTAGATTTCACACAAACTGGTCTCTCAAACCTTCAGATCATCTTTGGTTGGAATTTTTTCCTCCAGGAACATCTCTCCCAAGATTTCATCAGCATTGGCGACACACTCCACCAGTTCCTGCCTGCGGTCTGCGGCCTCAGCTCGAAAATCTGCCGGGATCTCATCATAGCGCATAGTTTGCCTGCAGGAAGCACGACGCAGCTTTAAATATTTTATACAGATCAGACTCGTAAGGAAACTTGGTCTTATCCACAATTTCTATGGGACTGATGCAGATCGCAACAGTTTAATTGTACAATAGATGACCTTAAGTCTAATTCATGGCAGAGGGAAAATAAAAACCACCCATTTACACATAAATTCATCTTACCCAAACTGTCCTTCGAAATACATGCTCCGCTCCTCTATGAGGTCAATGATGCCACGCATGTTCCCCTCCAGCCCGATGGGGATGTTCACAAACGCTGCGTTGTGGTTCAGTTTGGATCTTAAAAAAAAAGTAGAAAGTTTCTTTAAAACTGCGAAAAAATCCAAAGACAGAAACACACAGCTGCTTACTGCAAGAACCTAAAGAGCTCCTGTATATTCTCACATTTTACTGCTCTTTGATTTCATGCAAACTAATAAAATAATAAAAGTCCAGGAAAAGAAACGTTGAATACACCAAATGTGCAAACAAACGGGGGAAAAATATTGATTACTACACTGCAATCTAGTGTGCAATGTGGAATATGGGTTAAATATATTTGTTTTATTGCATTTACAAGCTGTATTATTGATTAACAAGTTAGTCTTTGTGTTTGCTGCATTAATGAAACACTTAACACAGTCAGAGTGTCAGACATGAAAAAGCTGAGATACAAGGACTGGTCTACATTTTCTCAAGGGATTCTTCTGGCTAAAGATCCGAAGACTGAAACATGGAGTTAAAAATAAAAGTCCAACTACAGTGTCACTTTCAAGTTACCTCTAAGGATTTAGGGAGTTTATGATTTTGTTTTTTAAACTGCAACCTATAATAAATACATCCTTTAAAGACACCCAGGTCCATCCAAGGAGGTCACTGTGGCCCCTCAGCTGATATCTTAAAAGTATAAGTAGAATTAAGTCACATGGTTTGGTAATGGAAATGTTAAATACACACATTGCTGATAAGTTAATACAATTATCACCTAATCTGTATTATTATCCAGTTAAAAACTGCTTAAAGCACCAATCGTGGTGCCTGAAGAGCACATTCATGTTGGAGAACATGGGCCTATGCAAGTGAGACCATAGGAAGTCAGCTACTCCTTAAATAACTTGTCTTTAAAGCATGCTCTCACCATGAGCACACTGTGCGTTTATGCTTGTTATGCACACCAGGTCAAGATGTGGTTTCAGATAAGTTGTTTATGCTTCAATTTTGCATAGGTTGTAAAGGTGGCAGAACTAATCTCTCCTCAGTTTTTCTACCGACGTCTCAAAGCCTTTCAAAGCTGTT